GTGTTCATTTCTCCGGTTACCATCCATCCAAACTTAGTGTTCTGCAACCTTATGTTGCCTATACCTAGGCTTATTCTTTCACATTCTAACAAGTCGTAAAATGCCCCACCACCTATGAGCATATCTATTACTCCAGCCTCAGTAAAGGAGGGGTCAGCCAGATCGTCAACTAAATCATTTGGAATTTTAAATGCATGGCTTGGCGTAGAGCAGGAGGACAATTCGCACACCGTGCTTGGTAGTACATAACAGGATAGATCAATAATATAATCCTTGACTCTTGACATTACCTGAATATCAACCGCTGCTGATACTTGGACACGACTAGATCCGATTCCGTTTACCGGAATCACGGCACTTCTACTGGGCAATTGCAATAACCTGAACAATCGCCTTGATAAGAGATTTACTTGCGAACCGCTGTCTAGTATCGCTCGACATCTTTGTTTTGTCCCATATCTGTCAGCGATATAAACTATGACAGTTGACAGGAATACGTGACTATTTGCTTGCGAAGCACAGCAGGAAGTTGATGGTATTGCTGGTTCACAACTTGGCGTATGTGTGTCCTTCTTCTCTGAAATACAGTCTTCGGTTGTACCGTCTCGAGCTGATCGTTTGCCCACGTGAAGTAGAGTGTTGTGTCTTCCGGTGCAATGTTGGCAGCTGTATCTTGATCTGCAAGCACGAGCTGCATGATAAGGTGAAAAACAATTGAAGCAAAGCTGAGCATCACGTATTTTACTGTGACGATCCGTGACTGTCATCTTTTTGAAATCCTCACACTGATAGACTCTATGAGACTTATTACAACAGATGCAAGGAGCTTCTGATTTTTCTGTGATAACCAAACTCCTTTTCTGGTGGGTTGGTTTAGAGGTCTTCGCTGTTGAGTTACTATGAGTGTCAATCTTATTTGTCGATTCGTTTGACATCACAGCTTCTGAGTTTTCCAAAGCCACGCAACGACTAGCTAGAAACGCTTCAAGGTCCTTATATTTCGGCAGGTCGGTATTTTTTAAGTGCAGCTGCCATCCGTGGCCAGTGTTCTTATCCAACCGCCCTGTCACAATAGTTATCAACCATGCATCCCAGTGCTCAACTGGTTGATCTAACGCCCTTAACGCAGCTACATGCGTACATACATGAGAATAGAGTTTTTGTAATGCTCCAGAGGACGAAACATCGATCCTTGGACAGTCGAGTATGGCCCTTATATGTGATTGGATAACAAGGCTTTTGTTATCATATCGGTGTTTAAGTCTATCCAAAACTACAGCATAGTTGCCATCACTGATGGGAATGGATCGCACCAAATCTAGTGCAGGACCTAATAAACATGAGCGTAAATGATATAATTTTTGTGCTGTTGTAAACGAATCCTCTTCATGCACCATAGCACGAAAAATGTCAAAGAAGGACGACCATTCCTGAATATTCCCATCGAAACTAGGAAGGGAAATGGGTGCAAGTTGCGTACGATGCGGCCGATAGGAATTGAAGGATGCATTTGGACCTGTTACACTTGTTAATTTTTCGGTATTTATCAGCTCCTGTATCTGAGACCTAATCGTAAAATATTCGTTCTCAAACCTCTCTCGCTCTGCTTCAGAGCCAGAAATATCATCAATTTCTAGCAGTTCGATTTCTGCCTGAACATCATCAAACTTTCGATTGATTGCAGGCAGTTCCTCTTGCCTAAACTCAAGCAATGATACGGGTTGTTCAGTAACATCGAAATTGCTAATAAATGTCCGTATCCTCGTTAGGGATCCCTTAATCACACCACGCTTTTTTTTAAGCCCTGTTACAATCTTTAACGTCTCATCGTCTAACGCCATACCTTGGTTGTTCAATTAATGCGAAAATTAAACGATTTAAAATAAATATAAAATGATAATGGTAATCAATAAATATAAAATGATAATAAAAATCACAAATATTAAATAATAATATAATAACTAAAATATGCTTTAATTATAACGATATTGCACACTAGCGATATCAACTCAGCCAATTAACCAAAATAATTCAACACAATTAATAATTTATAATGTTCCTATCACGTCGAGGTCACCAAAATGTACGGGCCGGGTACGAACAGTAATAGTCCGTGACGCCCGGTCACCAAATACTCCGCACGCTCACTCACACACCGACCGACCTGTGTATGTGTGTATACATGTAATAGCAATTCGATAGAAGTGGACGGGTTCGCCGAGCAAAACTATCGAATGCTAGTGTGTAGTGAGTGTGTAAATGTGTGTAAATATGTGGGTGTGTATGCCTTTACATTGGAATAGAATAAAATGACTAAGAAACAATAAAATGTTAACACCAATTTTGGGTATTAAGTTGCTATAATATAATAATTCCTTAAATAATACACACTATAAAATATGTGGCCCCTTTGGCCTTACAGTTAAAGATAATAATGGCTGGTCGTTTGACACAATTTATAAAATATAAATAAAACTATTATAATAATAAATAAATCAACTCACAGTATAAATTATTGCGGAGTGCAGACTGGCCAGCAGCAATTCCTTAAGCCTATAATATGGTTCACAATAATAACAATAATAAAAATACTAAAGGCTCGCGGAGATCAGTGTGAACTGACAATAAAACAAATGCAATCAGTGGCGATTGGTGCACTGCGCACACGTAACAGTAATAACGATATAACGGCGGTATAAACAACTATAATTTATGGCGATTAGCGCCGTTGATTATACAACATAATTTATTATAAGCGCACGATTTGCGCACGCCGACAAATGAATATAACTTTCATAATATGATTATAAAAGGGTGACGATTCGCGCCCACACAATAAATATAATAAAAAAAAAACAATGCTGGCAATTCGTGCCTAAGTAATACATAAACTTAACGGCGATTTGCGCACGTACAAACAATATGACGGATCGGCTTGACCGTTTCTGGTGAACTGGTGGGATGGGCGGCCGTGTTGATTAACATTCGCATAGGCGGCGCGGCGGCGTCCGATAACATTTTATCTACATATTATATAATATAATTCACAGATGCTACGGACAATTAAACAGAAATAAAATAATAACATAAATAAAACAAATAGGTAACGGATGTGTGTTGTGCGTGTGTGTGTGCGTGAGATGTACCAGTATGTACATATATGTGAGTGGCGGTGACGACGGCGCGAACACTTCCGTTATTGGTATCCGTGATAAGTGACTTCGCTTCGAGTGCCTGCACATAATAATTGTATAAAGGAATTAAGTTTTAAGATATTATATAAGGTAATACCTACATCCAGGGGCGGAGTGGCCGGTCTGGAAATGGGAATTTTCCAGATGGCCTGGACCATACTATGGCCTGGTGGCCTGGCCATTTTGTTAGATTTTTATTTTTTAATTTAAATTAATTTACAAAATATTAGTTAATGCTAAATGCATCAAAAATTTGTTTCTATTAAATTATTGTATTACAAATATTATTAATGAAATAATAGTAAATTTTAATAGCCTCGTACAATCGTATACTCTTATGAGAAATCTTTGGATAAAAAATTACAAAATATTTGGTACATAAATATAGATATCAAATAAAATCAAAGCAATATAATATTTATATGGGTCGATTATTTTTATAAAAAAACACCCAGATAGTGTGTGGTCTCGGTTCAATCCAACAGAACTAATTACCTATTAAGAAATTATAAATTACTGATTCGACGCATTTCCGCATGTTGAAACCTGCAAGTTGTTTATTTGTACCCTGTAGGGCTGTAATATACAGTATATCTGTTGAGTGGCGACGAATATAGCAATGCCAAATGGCTAATAATAATTAATAATACCATTGATTATAAGTACTAATAATGTCTAATACTAGTATTTTGTATATTTTATAACAATCAATGATAATACATTAATACATATTAATTTTGTATTATTGGTCACTTTAATTTGGTCATTGATATTTTTATAAAGAATATCTGTAATAAACCTAAACAAATTAGTCATTAGTGTTTGATATTTGTCCCCTGGTCACTGATGTTGAGTGTGTCAACGGTGTCGTTTATGGTGTATCCACGTTTTTCCTTTTAAGTAATTTTGTGTACCTTAAAAGTATTTTATTTACTATTTAGTTAAATGTTCTAGTTTACTAGTTATGACTTATGTTGGGATTATTTTTAATTTAAAAAAAAATTTAACAACTTATTATTATTTAAATTGCTCATAAATAAAATTAAGAAATTATATAAGAATTTCCAACACATTTGTAATAAATGTAATTAATTTGCCTAGTGCATTTCCTCATTGATAATTTATCTTGCTCTTATATTTCAATATTTTGAATAAAATGTACTTGTATTAATTTAATTTAACTTTTTTCAGATCAAACATCAAACAGTAATAATTTAGAATCTAAAATCTCTATAGATTGTGATAATGTTTTCGGATTTTCAGGTATTAGTACTTAGTGGTATATTAATACAATGTGTTAGAAGGTAGAAGTTAAAAGAAATTGCAAGATAGTGATTGAAATACTTTTCTAATACTGAAAGTAATTTTGGAATAGGCAAATATAAAAAACCAAATTCGAGCGTAGCGAGAAACAAAAAATTTGGTGGGTGGCCTGGATAAATTTTAAACTTCCGGCCTGGATTTGGTTCCCACTCCGCCCCTGCCTACATCTACCTATATCGTAAACATATATTACATGTTACAAGTTACAAGTGTTGTACATAATATAATATATCGAAAAAGAGAAAGATAGAGAGATTATATTAGCAGTATGTACCTGTTTCGTCGTGAAGTGCGCCATCAATATGATCAATAACAGCCTCAGCATGTATTGTAGCAGCCAACAGTAGACCAGCAGTCCCACCGAGAGTTGTAGAACATTTCGTAATAAATATCGAACAAGGCCATGAGCCACAGATAGCACACCGACAGTCCCATGTGCACGCCGAACAGGTTGTTGAGCGCATCAATCGACAATCGGATCAGCTAGTGTTTGATTCTGAGCAACTCGACCGTGTTGGCCGTCGGGTGGCTCATGAACCGTGGACGATAAAAGTCTTTGTCGTACACGACGGCAGACCGCGACGGCGACGGCGACGACGAGCCCGCGGACGACATAAACGGGTACTCGGAGCGGTTGAGGTTTTCGTCCTTCAGCCTCTTCAGATCGTCGTTGATGCCGTGAAACTTGGTGTAGACCTTGAAACACTGCACGACAAACTGCGTCTCGATGCAGCACATGCTCAGGTTCTAGACGTACATGAACAGCTGGTAGGCGAACAGCGACGCATCCGAGTTGGGCTCGTAGCGGCACAAGTAGTACATGCAGATCGTGTTGGTCGGCAAGATGACGGCCAGACACGTGGTGACCACGGCCAGCGAAAACGCCCTGTGCCGCCGGAGTTCCGTGGCCGACGGTGGCGAGTACGCCTCGAACGCTCTGATGGTCGCTTGGTACCTGGACATGTTCGGCTTACATTCGTACACGACCGCGATCCGGGAGAAGAACACGGCGGACGTCAACACCCTGTCGTACACGGCCGTCAGCGTCGACGAAAATGTGGAGCACCAGTGAACCAATTTGCATATGACCTGCGACGCGTTCACGAAATTGTATATGCACGTGGCTATCAGCAATGCGGAGTACGCGTTTTGAAACTTGTTGTACGACAGATCCATGGTGAACACTCCGCACAGTCTCCAAAACGCCCGGATCAGCCACATCGCGTAGGTACCTATAAAACCTATATTATAATATATTTTAGTATATTATAATAATATATTATATTTACTGCAACTATAACATACTTAGAAGCGTCTGCTGCAGCCCGAAACCTAAATAATAATATATTACCAATATAAAACGATTTGGTTTACCTATTATATAACTAGTGATTACCCCATCGACGTTACGGTCAGTATTGTAAATTTGTAATGGTTGTGCAGTGTAAACAGCGAAACATAATTATAAAGACACACCTAACCCGATGTTTGTATAGATATAATATATTATATTATACCTATGTCATACAGGCTATATTATTGTTTTTGTTTTTGACCGTCGTTTGAAACACTCGACTGTAGTTGTATATACACATAACACATCGACACATCGTACATTTTGTGAATACTTCAAGTACGTCGACGATTAAATTGACGAGTATATAATAACAATTTTTTCTCTGCTTTTTAATGTATACTTGAGAAAAACACTTTTCTTACTAGTTATAAGAAGTGATAATAAGAATATAATGTACACAGAACACTGAACAACGTGTACTAATGAGGGAAAATGTACGTAGGTATGTATGCATAGTTATTCCATACCTATATAGCTAAATATTTATTTTTTCTCTTGTTTATATATTATTAACTGTACGTCGTGGTAAATAGTAAGTTGGCATGTTGAGAAATTAATTGTAAAACCACTGCCTAGATTAATTGTGAAAACCAAAATGGACGAATTAAACGTTTTTGCTTTTGCTTTTGCAGTCGAATTTATCAAAGCACAAAGTAACTTTTAATTGCAACTTGTAACTATTATAAAAAGTTACAGGAAAATATGTTACTAGTTATAAGTTTCAAGTTACAAAATTAAGTAGTAACCGAGCTACGTAACTTGTTATACATGCCCAACCCGGAAAAAAAGTGGGAAGTGGGATTTGTTTGTTTTGTTTCAATTTTTCATTTGTTTATTAGTCTAAAAATGTCTTATTCCTCTTATATTAGGGATTTTCACCTCTAACGCGAGTAAAAACCCAATAATTTTTGATTGTTGAAATTATTTTTTTTAAGTTACCTACTAGAAAATTGTATATTCTTACGGTATTTTTAGGAAAGGGCCCAATTAATTTTAGGGTTCAGATTTTTATCAGTTTTAAAAGGAAAAGTTTGACGTACATATTAGTATACACGCCTATATATCTATATTTCAGTATTTACCATTTATTTATACCCAGTGGTCGGGAGTAGTATCCTAATGGTAGCGACACTACGAGTTACAACAGTTGGAGCGTGCTACTATTTATTTGTAGAGAATACAATTGAGTAGCTCAGTGGCGTTGCCATTGGGGGATGGGGGGCAATGGGAAATGCCATTTACCGTATTATTTTGGGAGTTGAACATTTGGCCACATCGACCAAAAGCACGTTTGGGTACAAATAGACCCAGCGTTTGCCGTTTGTACACATATAGAATGAAAGGTAGGTACACGTGACTACGAATATACTACAATCTTTATTAAGCCTGCATCATCAATATAATATATGACTGTACAGATTTCTTTATTCATCCAATCAGTCAATAAGTATCTTAGTTAAATATTTGGCAGTTTGTTTGATTCATTTTTTTATACTTAACAGACGAATCATGAATGTGAATATTACTGACATTACCCAAACGTATTGGTACTCAGACGTGGTATTAGTTTGAAACTTTTTTTTGGTGACGTCTGAAAAAGTTTGAACCCAAACGTGTGTAGTGTGTATATCCGATCGTTCTCCCAATTCCCATGTAAAAAATATCGTTTTGTGGCCGAACGTGTCACAATAATAATCAGTATAAAACTGTTGAAAAATTGCCATAGGGGCGTTCTTTATAATTTATTTGACATTGAAAATATTTATGTTATCATTTTTTTCAGCGATGAATGTACCTATTGATTTTACAATGACATTGTGTGTGTTTTTTTTTAGTCGGTCAATTACGTTCATCACCTTTTGGAACACTAAAAATGCTTCAATTCTATCTACAAATATATTTAAATGTATAAAAAGCATAATATAAATAACTAAATAAGACTATAAGCGTATAGAACAATAAAATATTTTATTTTCGTTTTCACCATTTTGGGCCTTTTGAATTTTTTTAAATATTTGATATTTTTTCCTTTAATTTAAACATGTCAGAACTTGAAGTAACTTAAATTGATAAATAAAATGTAGTTTACTACATTTAAACAATAGCGACATAGCGTTGAAGCTTAATAATAGCATAAAAAACATTTTAAAAAAGTAGCAGTAGTGAGCTGCTTTTTTGGGAAGTATAGGTATGTATAAAAAATACACAGTTATAATTTATATGATATAGTGAATGACACGATTTAGTTCTTAAATCATGAAGGTTAATAGTTATACTTGCCTACTTGGTCTAAAATCAGTTTAATCATGAAGGATGAAATATTGAAATTGTATAGGTACCCATAACCATCCATTATTCGGTAGCATGGTAGCCTGTACCATTTTCTATAGAATATGTACTAATAATTAAAAAAAAATTGTAAATCTCCGAAGAATCAAATACTAAAGGTTGATACTAATAAAATAATATCTTTCCAAGTTATAGTAGTAAACATAATATATATATTGTCTAAAAATTAAAATCTATATTATTTATTACATCTTGCTCGTTTGCATAAACCATTAACCAAACGAGTATATTTTTAAGTTTTCACAATTATAATTGAGTATGCAAAATTTTAATATAATCAATTTTTTCCAGAGTGAAATTGCACTAAAATAACTAAATATGTGGCACCAGCAGCTATAGCCTATAAAACACAAACAGATCATATAAATTTAAAAAAATACATTCCTCGTTTATATCATAAATTAAAAGTATACTTACTGAAGTGATGAGACGTGTATTCAAAGTAAATAAATCACAAGCAGTGAACTCAATGCAACGACTAGATATTTGAGCGTAGAATAGCTGAAGCTATAGAAGGTTAATTGGTTATCATTAATAAAAATTGACAATGAAAAATAATTATATTATGTTTTTACAATATGTACCCTCACCTCTTCCTGTGTACTAGTATCCAAATACCTATTGTTTATATTAGTTATTAATGTTTTTGCATTAACCGCCTAGAATAAAATAATTAATTTATAAGTTATGGGTAGTGGTAGACGGTATAGGTAGTGATTATCTAACATAAAAATAAACTAAAGGTTTCAATTTTGGTTTAGGTACACAGGCACAACTAGGGTGCTTGGTCTCCCCCCCAAATATTTCCATAGCCCTCCCGGTTAAAAAATAATGAATCTCCAACTTTCTTGTTTGGTACCGCAGAATGGGGTATAACTTTGATGCCCATGCATTTTTATTCACCAGAGTACCATCATGAATTTTTTTTTCATAAAATGAGGTTACTTTGACACACATTAAGAAATATAGGTATCAAAGTTTCCCACTATATTGTGTAACTTTGATAGCATATTAAAAAGATTGATATCTAAAAAACGTTAAAATATTGATCATAACTAGCTGTAACTAATATTTAATTTTGAGAGTTATTGAATCAAGTGGGGTAAGAGCCTAACGGGGCTCTAATCGGGTTATAAAAAATACAATCTTTCAATTTTAAAGTTGAGTTCATGAAGATTACGAAGTTTAATAGTAATCGAATGTTGTACAATAATGGTTAGGTACACTTTAGGATATTAAACATAGCAGTTATCACTATCCAAAAAGCTAATCAGTTATTTACTCGTATTTTTTTTAAATAATTCAATGGTCTAGTTAACCCGCCTAAATTGCTCAAAATAATTTCAAATTAGGTAAATAAATGTTATTTTATATTTATAATACTATTTCATTTATGAATTATGCTAATTTTATGATACAAATGAGTATTAGCCGATTATGCACTTCCCCCGAATAAAGTTCGACACGGGGAATGTGCGACATGATTTATGGGGCAAGTACGACATGTCTTATTTTGTTAAATAGTTAAAAAGATTTTATAAACATTGTTTGTGACTAAAATATTTATGAGTTACAAATATTCATCTTTAAATATGTAAATAGTTGACAATTAAACTTTAAATATGTGTTAACATTATATCAATCAAAACTTAAAAAAACTTATATGTATTAACTATAAATGAAAAAAGGTGCTCTGCTGTACAGTAGGTTACAGGTGGGTCACTGTATAATGGAAAGTATTAATTTTGAATTCAATGATATAATATCATTGTATAAGAAAAACGATTCTAAGCGGAGACTGTATGTCAATCTAGGTATAAGACATAATATTATATACTTATCTATGCTATTAAAAAAAAAATTGACCAATAATAGGTACCTACCTATAATAAATTCCAAACTAATCATATCACAATATCCATTAGGTACATATATAACGCGTTATACATCAACAACAAACCCTGATACTATCATAGATATATAGTGTACTTTAGAAGTTCCAAGTACCCACGTGGCCACGTGTATAGAAAATGCAAATATAAACAATCAGTGAAAATTTCATGTATCTACGATCATTGGTTTAAAGTTACACCAAAAACCAAATTCAATTTTGTGAAATTTTTTTCCGGTTTTTCCTTAATTTTTCTTTTGTTTTTCTTGGCGCTTTTGAAAATCACTGTGAATTTTAAATGTTGACGTTTGACCTCCCCAATGGACCAACGATATTCACTCTCCAATCGAACAAGATATTGGAGTTGAAAATTGAAGCATTATTTCGACTACTTATCGTGTAGGTACACAGACACAAAAAAAAACACACATCATTGTAAAATCAATACATTCATCGTTCCCCTCAGAATCTAAAATCTTGATGTTCTGTCAAATCTGTTAAAAAATTGAATTCTTTCAACGGAATTTCTTTGAAGATTTTTATTAGTTTATAGCACTTGCTCCGGGCCAAGGAATAGCTTGTATACAACTGTACTAAAAGTACCGATTTTGCACTTACCCCAGA